AGAGTATTATGTAAAGTCTCACCAGTGATCACAAACACAAAAATTCCAGCCCTGCACCACATGGCCAACATGCTAATCGCTCATGGCGGACACCAGCTGTAAAGACACTACGCAACTGCCGACCGCCTGGGCGTCGCGCACTATTGTAGTAGGTTTCGTCGTAGTAACGCGCCGGCAGCCTCGTCTCCAGCAACGCCACTCGGCACTTTTTGACGACGACGTGGGCGGTAGCGTCCTGGGTGCTCGGAATCGGAGCAAGTGTTCGCGAACATAAACCCTAGGTGCAGGACGCCGTCTCTATTACTACCACCTAAAGTCAAATCCGGTTCCTCGTATGAAGGTGTCTCGAAACTTTGATTTCGAGATACTTCGAGATACTAGTAAATCGTTGCCTACACTAACGTCCCCAGGGGCCCTGTGACCCTGGACTGGAAAGTGTAATAAGTATAATGGAATCGATGATGTCGCCCGCTTGAATCCCGCCGCCAGCGCGTGTCTAGGCCAATGAATCCCATGGCTGGTACCGGTGCAACGGGCGTGACCAGATCCTTCTCTGGCCTCTCTTCGCGGCAGGTTCCTTTGAAGAGCGGCAGGGACGCTGATTGGGATGGCGGGACCCAGACGCGGACGAGGGCGTAGAGAGGATCTGTCGATCAGCACAGGGGGGGCCATCCGCCCAAGCCTAACCCTTGGCTCTCATCCCATCAGCTTGCTTTTTGAGAACCGGTCCCAAAGTCTGTTGTGATGGCTCCACTATCACCATCCATCTTCACACTCTCTTAATCTCTCAACAAGAGTCGAAAGTTCCAAACGAGAGAATTATGACGGAAACGGCGTGAAGGAGAGAATGCCGCTAGCTGAAGGGGAAATGAGGCTCAAACCTCAAACAAACATAGCAAGACATTTTGAAGACCATGAGAAATGTGTCTTCAATTGCAAAAACGGCTCTAGTCTATCCTTCTTTTCGTCGCCCGGTCTCGCCTCGTAAATCATTTCCTGTTGTTCAAAGTCGAGACTCTTCCCTTTCAACGCTCGATCAAAACAGCTTGTCCCCTTTGGCTAAGCCCCTAGAACGTGTGTGGAACGGCAAACCACCCCTGGATCCCCTACTTGGCCACTCCTTCGACCACATTGAGATTTCCGAGAGTGGGGGAAGAATAAGATGGGAAGAAGAAGCACAGGCCAGAGCTTGCTCCCCATGCCCCGAGAAACGTCGGCCGCTTGGGAACAAGTCCATTGGCAATTCGCAATCGGAGCCAGCTCCTACCATCGTAAGCCCTGAGGGCCGAGGCAGAAGCCCATGGCAGGCTGGCAGCATTGAAGACGGCCCATCTCGAGAGATTTGGTAATTCAACTCTCGTAACTTAATAAGATGGCTAGTGCCTCCTGCGACTGACGCGGACAATCTCGATTAGATCTCGCTTCGGCCCCAAAAGAAGCGTCAGATTTGTGCGGATTGGAAAGACGACTAACCGAGAGTTTCGGCTAGAGCTGTGGCGGCCGGGCATCATCTACGGCGTCCCTTAGTCTGAGAGATTTAGAGAAATTGAACCGCCGCCCTCCCAAAGCCACATAACACAAACTTCCGACTACAGGAGCTGTAGCTTGGTTTTCCAAGGCATCTACTGCAGCCTACGCTCTCTCGAATGAAATTTAATTGATCCTAATTTGAACCGACATGAACCTTTCCAGATAATAGACAGTCCAGTAGGTAAACCTACCCTGCTTCATCTACATGCCCCCCCTCCCCTCCCACCCAGCATCGTGTTCTCTGCTTCCCTTCCCTCTTCCCGGTCGGTCATCCCATTGGACGCCTCGCTCGAATCCTCCCGAAAGTTCCCTACGCACACGGCCGGATCCAAAGGGTGTGAAGAAGACCTGGCACTTGGGTATGGGATAGAACAGAAAAGCAGAGGCCCACGGGACAATCCTGTGATCTCCAGCCTCCGCGACGATCAACCAGGATTCCCCCTGCCCTGCCAACACACTCTTTCTTGACTGGACGACCCGAGAAGAACCACCACGCGAAGAGATGCAACCTCTTCTGAAAGCGTGCTAGATGAACATTGAAGAACCGTGGTCGAATGAGCTGGCTGGTCTTTCTTGGATACCCGGAAACCCGTTCTTTACCCATCACGCTAAGAAGAAAAAGTAGGGCCCCTTGTTGAGAAGAGATGGATCAAGATCATTCGTCGACTAGGGGCGCTTTTGCTGCCCATCTCGCGGGCCTACGGAGTATCAAACTCTCGCAGGCCTTTTTGGAAGTTTGGAACTGCACTTACATTTGTGCTCTCTATCTCTCGCCCGTCGGCTGACTACTGGCCCAACCAAGTTGCCAATTCTGGCCATCTGCATCTACCCATCTTTGTCTCTCTCTTCTCTCCACCACGGGATTGGATTACCGGATCCGTGGCCCTCGTCAACGAACCCTCCTTGGCTTTTCTCCTCCTTACCAGGGTTTCTAGGCCAGTCGAGAACGATGAACTGCGAATTGCCCCTGGCAGCCCTCCCACGCCCCCTCTCCCACCCCTTTAGAAGATCGCCCATCCGGACGTCAAAGTAGGCACGTAGGGTCGGGATGGGCGCTGCGGCGCTGTCACTCTTTACCGCTTTCTTATTCTTCCGCCGTCCGGCTGTGCTTGTTTAAATCTCGTTCAAAGCCTTCAGGCGTCATCATGGCCTGACTCTGGCCGTTAGTCTTCCTCCCGTGCTTCCGCCTTGCCCCTGGGACCTTTGGGGGCTCTCCTCTTTTGGGTTTGGGAAACAAAATGCATCAGCCACACTTTGAGTAGCTCAGTGACTGACACACAGACACACACCTCGATGAGGCACCCCCAGTCCCTCTCCCTACTAGAGCCTAGCCGCTCATCTCTCCAACGTCGCTTGGTGGACAGAAACATTCCAGTCGACGACATGTTGTCTCTTCCTCCAGACTAATGATAACCTCTCGCCCTTACAGAATTATGTTTTTGAAACCGCCATCATTCAACCTGACTGCAATGTTCTTCTTTTGCTGCTTTTTGTCTTTTTCTCCCATGTTCACCTATCCCATGTTCACCTACGGGCGCTGCGGGCTGAACGATTCAGAAGCCTGGATTTTTCTCTCAAATTTCTATTAATAACGCCCAGCAAACCTGTCAATGCGATGAGATTGCCCAATCTGGACCATGTCCGGGATGCGATGTCCAATTATGTTTCTCGCTGTTTATTTTGCTTTTTCTTGAACAGTTTGTCTCGCCGCCCTGCAACGCCAAAGACAATGGCTCACCTTTCGAGGTTTCCCCCGGGCGTCTATTTTGGCTTTTTTTCATTTTTTAATTCATTTCCATTTCATAACTGCTGTACGCGTTCAAATCTCCGTCACAGGCTCACAGCATGTCGAATCTGAGTCTCTGAGCCATGCTGGCTGGTTCCCCCCATGCCACAGGGTCAGATCTCGACCGAGAACGAGCTAGGGGGGGAGGGTCTCCTTCAATGCTGCCGTTGAACGGGAACATGGGGGGTGGCAGGCGGCTGAAGGATGCAGCAAGATGCAACGAAAGCCACGTCGATGACCAGCACATGCTTCTTCCCGTGGAATGCCGTTGCTGGGATTGATGGAAAAGCCAGCAAATGGCACGCACGCGCTTGTATCGTTCAACTGCAGCCAACCCTCACGTCGAATGGTGTTGCGCCCGTCATCATGAAGCTCGAGGCTTCATCGCCCATGTGCCTCTATGCCGTCCTCGGTGCTGCTCCCCCCAAGAGCTACATCCACCAAGTGAGTGAGCAGCAGCAGCAGCAGCCCGTCGACAGACAAGATGCAAGATGGGCTGTCGGGTAGCCTGCAGTGCAACACAAGACCACCGAACTGACCCCGGCAACGCTGGTCAGTCATCCTCTGGATAGGTTCTTCCCCATCCCGCTCAACGCGCAAGCCGGAGGGAGACAGGCAGGGAGCACGCTGCGAGCTTAGCTCGTATGTCACCATGGTCTCATGGATCGGTTCCAGTTATGATATCCGTACCTCGGTCTCTGCATCTCGGAGGCGTTGCTGCTCCTGCTACTGCTGCTCCCGGTCAAAGTTTGCCGCATCGGCCGGCGACAAGAATACCGGTACCAAGGCGAGCGGCCCAGAGAGCATGGGTCAATTGGCTCGCATTACACAATACGTACGGTAAAGTACGGTATTGTTTGCCTGTCAAAAGAGAATGGTTGTTGGTCCAGCTCCATGTCCCGAGAGCAATGTCAGAATCTCATCCTCTGCCGGTAAAGTCTGCAGGCTGTCCAGACTCGGGGAGGCGGACGGACTTCCATGCTACAGCATTTGCCGCCCTCCGCGCTGTGCAATATCATCCAAAAAAAGTACCTCTCCCTTCAGCTATCAATGATCTACTCCTTACGAAGTTACGAATACCCCCAATTAAAATACGCGTCCAACAGACATGTAAATCCGCATAGCAAAGGCCCTGCTTCATCTCGACGAGTCGGCCGCAAGCGGGCCTTGCGGGGAAACGCAATACGACAATTCAGAGGAGTTGGAACGTTGATGACTCGCAAGCCACATGGCTCGAGAAAAGGATCTTCCCTGCCTCCATTCATTGAGGCTAGACGACCGTTTGGGAATTTCTCAGAAGGGATATCCCCCTCACCTCCAGCCCTGTCAACAGGAATGCAGGCGGACTGGCGAAATGAGCCCTTTGCTACTAAGCCAGTCCCCGGACCCTGCATGTGGTCCCTATATCGGCCTTCTACTAAGAGTCAAAAGAATACACCGGCGTTCCGGTTTGCTTTTTTTTGACAGCTGTCTGACCCAAGACGGACTCAAAACAAAAAAAGAGCAATAACAACGTCAGGAATGGGCTTCTCGTCCGGCGAACGGGGCTTCTAGTGTATATCAATATTGCAACTCTATACCAGCGGCTCGCTGCTCATGAGCAACGACGCAGGTTGCATGTGTGACATCCCTCGGAGCGATTGGGTCGACTCAAGGGTCAATGTCCGAGGGCTGAGACGGAAATATGCAGCTTGCAGGAAAGGGCAACTCGCGAGGGTCCCATTCAATATCGAGAGGGTACGATATGCGAGGCAAGGCACACTCAAAGAGGTTGGAGCACCACCAGCACCACTGCATCAGTACCAAGCAAAAGCATCAATCAGAAGCAGAAGCAGAAGCAGAAGCAGAAGCAGAAGCAGAAGCAGAAGCAGAAGCAGAAGCAGAAGCAGAAGCAGAAGCACGAGCCTGTCTGTCCCGAATTGTCGGGCGAGTTCCGGATATTGCCCAATGGTCCTTGCTGACAAAAAACCGGCTCCGAGTGGGAGAAGCATCTCCTCGAGACAAAAGCAGAAGAGCATGCATACTGGGGCCCCCCTCTAGGCTCTATCAACCTATCCCCAAATCGACAACTGCATCGTGGCCTTGGGTCTTGTTCCCCTGCCCTCTTGGCCTTTTCCAATCCCCTCCCAAAAGCAAAAACACAGCGCACCCCCTGATGCCGTCTCTCATCGGTGTGCTTGACGTTACACGGCACTGGGGTTCCAAGTCCCACCGATCACCGTCCTGAATAATTACCTTGACGTCGTTCATCGCGGGCGAGGCTCCGTCAGTACCGAGCCTCTGGGGCCCTCCTTCCTGGCAACTGGGAACAAGGCATCTTGGACACCGGACAAAGATTGGGTAAAAATTGGAGTCGTACGTCAAATGGTGACGGGCGAGCAGAAAAAGATCCCAACAGGAGAAGGCTCACATTACGAACTCTCAACGTATCTATCTGCCTCTGTGGACTTTATTCGCAGGGAACTACTTTAGCTTCAGTGGATGCATATCCAGAAAATCCAGTCCACACAGTCCACACATCCTACCCAACCATCCCCCTACTCGACGAATACGCCGGGATTGCAAAGGGAAAGGGGTGATCCCAGCAGAGACACGTTTTCCATGACCGTTTGTGGGCTCGCAGAAGCGTTGCGTCCACGATACGTACTACACAACCCACCTACAAAATACGATCACGACTATTGACCGAGAAAAGGAAGAGGAGACGCAAAGACAGGTTTCATGACACAAACGGGAGGGCTCCGAGTCGAGCTCAACCTCGATTCGGCGTACCGAGTACTGCTGCCGCTCCCCTCTCCATATTACCCTGGCAAGCAAGAAAGAGGCAGCGAGGCTGTGCTTGCATACATATCGAAAATCGTGGGACTGGGAGAGGGGTAAGCTGTGAGGTTCCGCGATTCAGAGGATCATTTCCCAGGATCTTGCAAATCGCAGGCGTCTTCCCGATTCCCCGAAGGCATAATACCGAAGGAAACTCAATATTCGACGAGGGGAGATGAGCATGTTCAGTGGGTGGGAACGGCGAGATACATCGCGGTGACAAAAACCCTCCGAGGGAACTGAATAATGGGCTTTCCATGGTCCTGGCTTCCTGGTCGAACACAACCTGACCGAGCGGATCCAGCAGTCTGGAGTCTGCCGTCCACCGCGCATGCTGTCATACAGAGTCCACTTGAAGGGGGGGAAGGGGTGAAGTCCGGGTGTTTCCTGGAAGTTACTCTTCTTCTTCCAAGAACGAAACAAGTGACGATCAGCATCATTCGAGCCCTTCATCCAACCTTCATTCCAGCAGATAGATGAAACCACCTCGTCGTAACTTCGTAAGCCCAGTACCAACCATGCGTACTGACATCAACTCTGTCCCGCCCAATCCTCTCTACGCGATCTCGGCCGGTCTAGCGTTCGAACTGCCCACTCCCCCCCTTCGTATATTGGGGAGAACGCGTCCCCGTTGGCCGACTTCGCTGGCTCATGCCTCGAGATCTCCCGTGGGCTCCCCTCTGTCGGCACCCACTAAGAACCCAGCCATCGTGGCATCCCAACGGTCCAAGGCTCGCCTCCTACAGGAAGTCAACGTTCATTCCCGCTTGGCACAGGTAATATGGCGCGATGCCCACAAAGCCAAAGGAGCCGGAGAGCATCAACTCCGCAGGAGGCCCCCTTCGCGCCTTGTGCCTAGGCATTTTGGCCCCCCATCTCTGTGAAGATCCTTGACACCACCTCCTTCTTACCTACGGGGAAAGGGAATGGGGCAAAATGGAAGTATCCGTATGGAAGACGCCGCATATGCGCTCCGTGGCTGCCGTACCAGAGATCACTTGGGTGATCACCAACGCATGGCCATGGGTGTGTCGGAAAAGTAACCAGCACGTCAACCACCATTAGTCCGGTCCCCGCCTTTGTTCATTCTCCTCCTGCAGACATCTCATTACACATCCACGTTGCTCTCCAATATCGCTGCCGCCGCTCCTTCTCCTCCTCCTTGGCCATGCCTTATACGATGATAGACTCCGCTGGAATGCTTCAGGACAAGACTCGAGTCGTTAGCCCAGGACGCAAAACCACTCAGGACGAGACACCCGTTGGCGATGATTAAGCACACAAGAGGGGCGTGTACTCCGTACTACCATGGGTGAAGATGGATGGATGCTCCGCAGAGGCTCGTGATATGCAGCGGTGAAGGAGAGAATCCACCACCCGTAGAAACGCGAGAGAGCCGGACGGAGTTATCCTTCCACCTTCCAACCTTCCATTCTCCCCTATCAGTCATTTTCTGTCACCTGCAGGCCTATAGGGCCAGTAGAGAGTAGAAAAAATGTGACAGCCCACAAGGTGAGATCGTGCTCGCAAATCTTCGCTCGTAAAGAGGGTCCCTCGACCTCGTCTTGGTTTCGGCCCATTGGCCTTTTCCAGTCACAAGTCTCACTGCCGGCCGCGGTATTCGCAGGATATAGCCTCATCCACTTTTACCTGCCTGCCTGTTTTGCCAATATGCTGTGCCTCCAACTGGCTCGGTCTTTCAGAGGAAGTGGAAGGGGGGTCTCGTTCAAGTTGACGGTGGGGGCCAAGAATTTCGATGCCCTCTATCCCGTATGCTATTCATACCTCTCTTTCTTTTACAATCGCTTCTGGTTTGGTTGTCCCTCTTCGAATCTCTGCCACGCCTCCTAGATAGTTGACAACCAAAGGTAGTCTTGGAAGAAAGCCTAGATTATCAAAAGATCCCATCCCAACGCCCTTACATGCCCCCAATTACCGCGGCCGCAGGCGCCACAATCAATGACTCCATGCTTCGAACCTGGAGTCTAGAAGCCTTAGTGTCATGGCAACGTTTACAGGGCTGGCGACGTAGGGAGTGATTGGCGGGAGATGTAAGGCGCGTGTGTGTCTGTGTGGTGGCATTTCCATACGTTCCAATAGTCAGCAGCCACACGGCAACAAGCCGAAGCGACGCGGCGGCAGCAAGTTAGCAGCCCTCAAAGAAGAACCCGGGCCAACAAGACATTCGAATCCCGTCAACGGCGGATAGCGGGCGGACGTTGCGGGCTGAACGGTTCACGTTGTCAATGGTGGAATTCCAAGCCCAACGTTGGCTGCGCCCGCTGCTTCATTACTTCTCAATCCCGCGTGTTGTCTTTCAGCCTCTCCCCATTCCTTCGAAGGGGGGGAGGCTGGAGGATGATGAGGAGCAGGAGGGCAACCGCAATAACCATGACCGGAAACCGTAACGCGGCCCGAGATTAGACAGCCCCCCGTGCTGAGGCAAAGCAAAAGAGGTGTGGTGATTCCCTCATCATGCACGTCCGCGGTTGGTGGCGATCCTCTTGGTCGTCCGTCGAGCCCAGCCCGTTCCCGTCCCATGAATGGTCACCGTTCGAATGTCGTTTATTGCCCCCCCCCCCCCTTTTCCCGCACCGCTGTGCCGCAGACGCGCCTTTCTAGCCTGGACAGTTTTGAAAGATCGACCCGGAAAGGGGTCATACGGCGCTCCGAGCTTTGGTCGTGGGAAGCGGCTACGCGGCTGCGGGTTCCCCTTGACGTGTCCCCTGCGCAGTGCATCACGGGCCTGCTGCTGCTGCTTGTCAAGCTTGGGTCCGTTGTCGTTTGGTTTCTGTCTCTAGAGCTCTCCCTTTGGCTGCTTTGCGTGTTTATCCCGGTCCTTAGACGTGGGAATGTATGCATATGGGATGTCTGGTCTGGGGTTCAGTCCGAGCCAGCAGCTAATGTTGGCGGTCGATCATCCAGTTCAGTCCAGCAGCAGCAGCTCTCTGACCAGATGATACCCACCCCCCTCCCCTTGGAAGGCAGAGGGAAAAAGCAACAAAGGGCGACATATTGTCCTCTCTCTCTCTCTCTCTCTCTCTCTCTTTCTCTCCCGAATTGCCCTACACTGGACGTGCTCGTACATGCAATCTTGAATGAAAGTATTGTTTGCTTCCCGCGGTGCTCCGTGCCCTGTTAATGCACGCTGCATGCGAGCTGCATCATGCAGCTTGCAAGACCCAAGAAACGAACGTTTTGGCGATCCCGCAACGCGGACGTCACTTCTGTTCTCGGTAGGGCCATCCGGGGAAAAAGAAACGTCTTCTCAGCCGGAGAGACACTGGAATGTCTCGACTAGAGCGGAGACACGTCCGGGGTTTGTTAGTTGCGTAGGTTGCTGCTGAGCCAATGTCTCTCTTACTCACTGTGTCACTCTCTCTCAGTCTCTGTTCCTCTGCTTCTGCCAGCAGACTTACGAGACAGCGATCATAGGGTTGTGGTGGGATAGCCAAGGACGATATACATGGGCTTCCACAGGGTGTGTCTCGACCACGAAGCGAAGAAGGGGCCAAACCGCTCCCTCGTGGGCGCGGTTGTTCTAGCTGCCGTTGTGGCTGGCCCTTGGAAGCTCCCCAGTCTCGACTAGAAGCCGTCGCTACTTCGTGTGGCTTGAGACACCGCGTTTAGAAGAGCTAAAATGCCTTCTTCGCCTGAACCCTACGTTCAACGTAGATCGCTTCCAGCCTAGCCCTCTTCTTCTTTGGATGACCGGTTCGGTCCTGATCCTTCAGAAGAACGCCAGTACGGCTATCGTTTGACCGCAATGGGGGACGGGGGACCACGGAATGTCGACTGTTCCCCTTGCTCATCAGCTCATAAGACAGGTACTCGTTAGTTCTTGACGAACTAAGACAACACGAAAAGAATTGCCCAAGCCCGTTTCTCTATCCCCCCCAGAAACCTAATCTCCAAAGTCCGAGAGACGAGATGCGATACCGTAGCACTAATCTAGATCGCGATCACGAACGATGTGATAAATCTGGCCGTAGCCCCTCCGAAAGCGGTAGCCTCGTTCCTTGATAGCAAAGCAAAGCAAGCGCAATGTAAAACCCCCTTGTCTGACCCTGAACTTTTGGGGTATCATTCATCGGAGGACTATTCCAAGTTGGACTACCACTTCGTCAGCTCTGCCCTTCCA